GGCCCGGGCTGGATTCAAACCCGCCACCTTAGGTGTATGTGGCTGGTGCCTTAGCCACTTGAGCCATAGGCGCCGAGCCTGAATCTTTAATCTTGTGAAGACTTATTAGATTGTGATATATTATGTTTGTGTTTCTGCTATATTTGTCAACAAAGAGCTAAAATTACATCAGAGTTTTAATTTATTTAATTTTTTTTTTATAAATAGGTCACCTGGTGGTAGACCCATTCATAAAAGGAAAAGACAAAATTTACAATGGGATCCAGTATCTCTAATATCTGATGCACTTAAACAGAAATTTGCCTTCCGAGAAGATGATTCTTTTGAGAAAGAAAATAGATCTTGGGAGTCTTCCCCATTTTCTAGTCCAGAAACTTCAAGGGTAAGCTAATAAAGAATTCATTTTTTAGTTCTTCTCAGATGTACTGTTCATGATTACAGCCTTGCATTCAAGTTCTCTTGAAGTAATTAAGCAGAATGGGCTATACAGTTATTTGTTGACATTGCTAATGTTTCTATTGTTTTTGTTAATTTTATATACTCATTTTCACTTGTAGCCTATTGTAAGGTCTTTTGAAATAGAAAACTTGATTTGAAAAATCTTGGTGTATAAGTTTATAATGATTTATCCTAGACAGGTGCCAGTATAATGTTTTCTGTAGAATGAACTGGGCGTTTCAAACTTTGAAAGGACCAGGAATGAACAGTGCAAGAGTTTTACCCTGACCATATGGAATGTGAATACTCCAGTGTTTTTCTCAGTCAAATATAAAGACTTTGGATAATTTAGTTGAATAGAATGTTAACTCTGCCTTTAAAAAAGCAAATGTGGGGGCAGCGCCTGTCGCTCAAAGGAGTAGGCTGCCAGCCCCATATGCCGGAGGTAGTGGTTCAAACCCAGCCCTGGCCAAAAACTGCAAAAAAAAAGCAAATGGGATCATCTGTTATCTTTAATGACAGCAACTTACTGGATGCTTAAAAGGACACACACTGTAGTTCACACACTTGATCCTTAAGATTGCTCCTTACTTGAAATCTTCTCTTATATTTAAAAATAATTCTAATTTAGGGGGTGGATTTTACATCTTAGAGTTCACTTGAACTGGTACTTAAGAATAAGCCTTGAGACAGGAGTACACAAGAATAGCATCTGAAATCAGGTAGATAGGATTGAGGAGAGACCCATTTCAGCCAAGGCAGAGACTGGAAAACTCAAATGCATGTGGCTCTGGAGGAGCATAATAGTGAGGAGAGTTGTCCTGACCTCATTCTGGCCTGTGCAGTCTCTGAGGTTGCCTCTGTGTGTGTGTGTGTGTTATATCTGATGTTTAGTGTGTTGGCTCAAAATTATATTCTTTTAACTAGGTAGAAAGGCAAAAAGTACATCATTTCCTTTAGAACTATTACAATCAAAAAATGCAGATGTGCCTAAAATAAATGTTTAATCCTAACATTTGTACAGCAGCTTATAACTTGCAAAGTACTTTTTTTACTCATCTCATTTGATCTTCATAGCAATATCCTGAAATAAAGGTGAATATTACTTGTTTGAAATGCAAGGAAAATAAGCCTCATAGAGCCCGTAATCCCACATGTAAGGGGCAAAGCAAAAACTAGAAGATGTTTCATTAAACTTCCAGGGTGTCTGAAAATCTAACGTGGTCAGTAGTGGAACATACTGTTTCCTAGTGAGAGTGGGGACATGAAGTATCACTGGGTTGTCATATCCTGCCTGCTGATGGTTCAGTGTCTCTTTGCACTTTCCTTCCAACCATCTGCTAGCATTTCAGAGAAAGAATTGTCTCTTTTTATGTATTTTGTACCACCTAATTTCAGTATGGACACAGGGATTCAAATTGTAGTGGACTGGGACTGCAGTCTGCGCTTACTCACTTTTGTGTCCCTGCCACTGCACAGCTGACTCTCAAAAAACTGTTGTTGAGTGAGTTTAAACTTAAAGAGTCACCTGGTACTTGTCATTCTTTTTTTTAAAAACATTAGAATAATTTCTGTGTGAAACATCTCCTTTATTTCAGTTTGGACATCATGTTTCGCAGTCAGAAGGACTGAACTGAAGGAGGAACTGGTCAACACAAAAGCTGTTGAACAAGTTATCAGCGACAAGATATATCTATGCTTAGAAGAAAAGACTGCAGAAATATACCAGCCAGTCTTGCACTGCATTTCAAAGGTCTTCTCTTCTGTTAAATGATGTCTATTCTGGGATATGTAAACCTTGGATAATAACCTGAAAGAGTCTTGACTGTTAATCCTTGTTTTTGGTTTTGAAGAGCCAGCGATTTACTGGCTACTGATAATAGGTGTATGGATGTTTTTCATGTATATTAATAATATGAATATATTATTTAGCACAAATGCTGAATAGATACTTGGAAACATTTTCCTAAGCAATTGTACCTCTTAATTTAACAACCTTTGAATGTTTTAAAAATTGGTAGTGGATCTGATTTACTTGTCCTCCAGTAACTAGGAGATATTCAAGGAAGATAATATTACACTGTTTTTCATCAAGATAGTCATAGTTTGAATTACATAGGTTGAGCCTTCTAAAACTTCTGAGATGATAAATTGTTCTTTGAAAGTGACTTTGTTAAATTATAAAAGTAAAGAGTCTTGACAAGTATTACCTATACTGCTATGTAAATATGTGTATGCTTGTCAATTTTTGTTCCTTTGTTTCTGTTACATCTATATTCTCTTTCTTTGTAAATAGAGGGTGAAATAAATGTTCCTTTTGAACTTGGTTGTATCTTGCAGCAATGCAAGTGTTTTCTTCCTGTCCAGGTCCTGACCAGGGAGCAGGGTCTGCTAAGACCTGTGGAAACTGGCGGTGACCGACTGAAGAAATACAGTGTTTAGAAACCACAGTAAAGGCTTAGTGCTTGTAGCACAATGGTTACAGTGCCAGCCACATACACCAAGGCTGGTGGGTTCAAACCCGGTCCACACCAGCTAAAACAGCAAGGACAACTTCAACAAAAAATAGCTGGGTGTTGTGGCAGGTACCTGTAGTCCCAGCTACTTGGGCAGCTGAGGCAAGAGAATCGCTAAAGCCTAAGAGTTTGAGGTTGCTGTGAGCTGTGATGCCATGGCCTCTACCCAGGGCAACATAATGAGAGTCTATCTCTAAAAAAAAAAAAGAAAGAAAGAAACCATTGTAAAGAAAGAGACATGAGATAAAAGTGGGAGCTCAGGGGTCCATTGCCCATTTGTGGGCTTCCAGCAATGGCCCTGAGTGTTTGCTCCACTCTGCTTTTAGTGGAGTCTATTTGCCCAGAGGGTAAGATGAGGGAGGGAACAAAGAGGCCAGCAATATCTCTGATAGAGCATATCAGCTCCTATTATTATTATTAACCTTAAAGTAGGCTTGAAAAATCTGAAATCTGAGCCTTGTATTGGGAGAGTCTCCCACTTGAGATCACACACAGATTTCGAGGGGTTAAACTCTGCTAGTTTCTTGTGGAGTAAAATGCCACTGGTGTTAATCTCCTCTTAGGAATTGGTGGGAGGGAGGAATTTTCCTCCCATCACCACCACAGAGGATCTTCCTTTGCAATAAGGGATATAAACTCATTTGCCCATATATCAGGGCTTGAGCTACTCCCTTGATCTCTGCCCCAGGCAAATGCAAATCTCCACAATGGGTATCTGCTTTGCCTGTTTACTAGGCAGGAAATGACCCAGTTAATGTATCTTTCTTGGTCTTTGTAATAGCCTCTTCTATGATCATTTTTTTTTTTTTCCTCAGAGTGCTCATAGACCCAGCAGGGGTGTTTGTATACTATATACAGGCTAGAATTTCAGAAAAGGCAGGACGCTTGCTAGTAATAGCTAGCTTAAATGTCAACTGGCTGACTTATCTCTGTTCTGACTCAGCTTACTTTTTAATTTTCCTCTTTTTTCTGGGGGTGCTTTCCCTTGCCAAGAATGGTGTCTTGGGTCCCCGTTCTCCCAGTGCTTATCACTTGGTGAAATAGGACTTTTTGTGTGAGAGGGGTAGAGTTTCTTGGGTCATACATATGAAACACACACATTTGCAATAGGTATTTTGTTCCTATTCACCCACATACTAACCTTCAGTCTGTGCCAGAATCAGAGAGCCCTTAGCACCCACCCATTTTGCCAGGCTCTCTGCTGTCAGAAAAGCCCAGCTTGCCCAGTTTTCTTGTAGCAGAGGGTTGGTTTCCTGGCCCACCTCCATTTCCAACCCTTTCTTTCCTCTTAGTTAAGAGTGCCCCCAGGTTTGGCCTGGCCCATCTCCATTTCCAACCCTTTCTTTCTTAGTTAAGAGTACCCACAGAGTTGTCCAGTGACCATGAGGAACAGGCTTTGAATCCCAGAGATGCAAATCCTGATGTTGCTTAGCTGTTGAACCAACAACCAGTAAGACCTCTCTCCAGACTTCCTGTTGTAAGAGAATGATACATGGGAGAGGTTTACCTTGTGGGCTTTTGGCTACTTGCAGCCCAAATCATCTGTAAGGATACAGCAAGTGTGGTTGTGCAGTTCTGATGCCTGGCTGCCTTCTATGAATTTTTTTTTTTTTTTTTTTTTTTTTTTGGTATTTCTTGTCCTGCTGATCAGTAGTGTATCTGTTCTTGCTGTTGTTCCTGTCCTTCCTGTGTGTTTCTCTCACGCTGGCCTTTTCTCATTGTCCTTGTAATAAGAATTTTTTTCTGGCTCAGCACCTGTGGCTAAGGCACCAGCCACATACACCTAAGGTGGTGAGTGTGAATCCAGCCTGGGCTTGCCAAACAACAATGACAGCTGCAACCAAAAAATAGCCGGGCGTTGTGGCGGGCGCCTGTGGTCCCAGCTACTTGGGAGGCTGAGGCAGGAGACTCGCTTGAGCCCAGGAGTTGGAGGTTGCTGTGAGCTGAGATGCCATGGGCACTCTACTCAGGGAGACAGCTTGAGGCTCTGTCTCAAAAAAAAAAAGAAACGCTTTTCTCCTGAAATAACTGCTTTTTATCCCCTGGGGTAGGGGAATGTCGGCTTGCATTTTCAGTTTTTGAGTTTCCTTATTCAAGAATGTATCAGCAACAGCCCTTCCCCAGCAACCAGCAGAGACCACTGGAAGATACTGTCCCCTGCCAAGTGAAGAAGTATTTGTATTTCTTGAAAAACCTCAGGTTGAATTTTTTGAGGACTTTACTATTCTAGTTTAGAAAGAATTTCTTGCCTTCTCAAAGCATACCAATACCAATGATACCTTGCAATTGAGGTGAGCTTGGGTCCTCCTCTGTTAGAAGTATGACTCCTGGTGTCCTAAGGACACATGACCACATGGCCTAAAATCTCCCTTCAGAAAGCCTCCTAAGTGGCCTAACTTCAGGTAACTTGTGTTTATTGTTGGGTTCCTAGGCCTTTGGGATTCACTTTAGGCCCTTATCATGAAGCTATACATAAATTGCCTAAAACCTAAGTTATTCATAAGATTTATATTTGGTCACTTTTAAAACTTATTTAACTATACTGTGAATGCTGAAAATTTTGCAAGTGATACAAATGCTACCTTTTTGTCTTGACTCTGAAACATTAACTCTCTGACCTGCCCTAGAAGAGTCCCTTCTTTCTCTTCCTCAGATGCCTTAAACTAGGTTGCCCTGTCCTTCCCAGTCAGCTGCTAGTTAATCCCTATAGACATTTGACAAAGCATTTCACTACTATTTTACATTTGGAAAATGAAGACACTGGTTTTATAATATAGACTGCAGAAAGTTAATGATATTCAAAATCTTAATGGTTGAGATGTGCAAATAACAGGTTTTTCAAGGCACTGTGGAATGTAGGTCACTGTTATCCTCATATTTTAGAGGAGGAACTGGGCACAGAGAGCCTACCTCTATCCCAGTAGCTTTGCCAGGTTCTCAGCTGGTTCTGTGGTGGAGCTGGGATTTTTTTTTTTTTTTCACTTATTTTTATTTATTTATTTTTTTACTTATTTTTATTTATTATTTATTATTATTATTATTTTGATCTCTAAACTGTTTATAAAAATATGGAACACGTCGTGAATTTGCGTGTCATCCTTGCGCAGGGGCCATGCTAATCTTCTCTGTATCGTTCCAACTTTAGTATGTGTGCTGCTGAAGCAAGCACTGAGCTGGGATTTTTTTATTCTTTTCTTCAGCAGGCTGGTCTGCAACACCTGGGCTCAAGAGAGCCCCTTGCATTAGCCTCGGGAGTAGCAGGCGGCAGGCCTGTGGTGGGGCCCCGGCCTTAAGAGCTGGAATTTGAATCCACATACATGGGTTTTCCAACCCATATTTTTTTTACCCCTTACGGAAACATTTCCATTTTCTAAATTTGTTTATCTATTTATTTAGACTTTGCCTTGATTCAGAAAGAATTTAAGGCAGTTTGCAAAGATACATAAAGCACAGCTAAATAATACAAGCAAGAAACCTTCAGATTGCAGTTTTCCACGTTCACCACTAGAGGACAGTATAACACCGAGAGCACCCAGACTGGCGGCAACTGTAAACTTGTTACCTACCATCTTCAGATACCAAATTTTTAGAAATTATAGACAAAGCAAGGTTAGATTTAGTGTTAATTTCTTTTTTTTTTTAAATTTTTTTTTTTTATTTCAACTTTATTACTTAGAACGTTTTTTTTTTTTTTTTTTTTAATTACTTCTTCCTCCTGTAGTGTCTTCGTGCCCCCCATTGGCTGGAATCACAAGGTCCGGCTGTCTCGTTGTCCTGTTGTTGTTGTAGAGACGGGGTCTCACTCTGGCTCGTTTGGCTCAGGGGGGTCTTGGCTGGTCTCGAACCTCTGAGCTCAGGTGATCCACCCGCCTCGGCCTCCCATAGCGCTGGGACTACAGGCGTGCGCCACCACGCCCGGCCTGTTAATTTCAAAAGCAGCTAATTTTAAAGGGAATTCATGAATTACAAATATCCATATCTTTGGTAGGTGTGACATTACTCATGTTATCAGGGTAATAATTCAACTTTTCCCAGCTAATAAATATTCTATAAAATTCATTGATAAAGCAAAGAATAGTATTGCTTAATTATTAAATTCAGTATTGCAGTGGGGCTCTATT